GAAGCTCAATGCGGAGAAGATCTTGAATGGGTTAAAACCGAAACCAAGCCATTCACACAGAACGCATATTCAGCGCATTTTTTAGACGAACAATATGACTGCTGCACTCGCGTCTCACAGAAGAGATGTATAGAAAGCCATGCAAAGTTAAAACAGTTTCAACTTTTAGAAAACATGTCACGAATTTGTGGAGGTTTATTCCTTTTCACGGCGTTTGTTTTAAATGCAGTCTGTGTAAATGGAGCTTCGGCTCTTTGGATTAAGCAGTGCATAAATACATGATGCTGTTTTGTTCATAATTGTTTATGCAATTTACGAAATTATATTTGACTTTTATGAGTTAATTTAGACGTAATGCACGTTTTTATAGAGTTACTTGCTAAATGCGCTGCATTATTTTGCTCATTGCGCCCTCCTGTGGCCTTTGGAGACAATTAGACCTATACAATAAAGACCTATTTAATCTGCATATAAAACATTAGAAATTAGATATTTGTTTAATTTTTATTGTGTTTGATTGTTAAAACAAAAAATGTTTGTTTGTCTCAATAAATTGTTAATTATCAATACAGTGGTTAAATAAAAAAAACAAAATTCTATTGCTTTTTGTTTTAAAAAAAGGTTATAAAAATGTCAATAATTATCTATACCGAACGATATGAAACATTATATCGTTAATAAATTTTTTAGCTATATCGCCCAGCCCTACTTTCTCTACTATCTCTAATATTTTAATATTGTACCTGGTAGGGGTGGGCGATATAGCCTCAATTATATCACGGTATTTCAAGAATATTTGCGATTAACGATATTTATGACGATACAGAAAAAAAAACATGGAACAATGTTTTATTGGTGATTGCAGCTGGCAGGCAACAGCATTTATTAGTGCAAACAAAATGAAGGGCATTTTCCATCCTTTTCCAATGAGCTACTGTCGTCGATGACAGACTACCTAATTCAACGTGTAAATCTATTGTCATAAGGTGGCAGCAGCAGCTGTGTGTTCAACTTGAAGCAGACCGATCGGTGTATGACGTCAAAATACCGTGAGAGTGACTTACCCCTTATTTACCCCTAATTTACACTACACGCATCTGCGGCGCGTTACTGCTCCGACGCGGGCACACTAGTCAATGCTTGTGTTTACACCAGCGGCGCCGCGGCACGTTTCAGAAGCGGCCCAGAAGCGGCTCTCCGCGCCGCTTCGCTAAAGATATGCGCCTCGCCTTTTTTTTTGTGATGTCCGGTTCGCGAACTAATCGTTCAATTTAACCGGTTCTTCTTAGTGAACCGGTTGAACCAGTTCACCAAATTGGACTGAATCGTTTGAAATGGTTTGCATCTCCAGTAAGCACTAATCTACAAATTACTTAAATTATTCACTTTTTTAACATGGCTGACACTCCCTCTGAGTCGAAATAAACCAATATCCCGGAGTAATTAATTTACTCAAACAGTACACTGACTGAACTGCTGTTAAGAGAGAACTGATGACGAACTCGAGCAGAGCAGCATGTGTGCAGCGCGCCGGGTACTAATGAACGTACACTCCCACTGCAGGAGCGGTTCTCGTTCTCGAATCAAGAACCGGTTGCATCGGTTTTCGGATCACCAGTACACTGAACCGAGAACCGTTTCTTTTGACATGTCCGATTTGAGAACCGATGAGCTGATGATACTGCGCATGCGTGATTCAGCGTGAAGCTACCGAACAG